CTTGTCTTTTTATGATAGCCATTGTTACAAGCAGGAGACAATTTCCCATCGTAGATTTTTGTTTGCTTGTGTCTTTGTTTTCTGCTATTGAATCCATGATTTCTTTGATACTCTGGAACTAATCCCTTATCAGATATATTGTTTGGAAATATTTGTTCCCATTCTATAGGATGTCTTTTCACTTTTTCCATAATCTCTTATGCTCTGCAGAAGCTTTTTTGTTTGACATAGTTCCAGTTGTTTATTGTTGATTTTGTGTTTTATTCCCATTTTTTGTTCTACGAGTTTTTTGGATTTAGGTCTTACATTTAAGTCTTTAGATATTTCGAATTAAATTTTGTGATTGGTGTAAGATGTGGTGTAACTTTCATTCTTTTAGATGTGAATATCCAATTATATCAGCATGATTTATTAGACTGTTTTTTCTCTATTTAGTATTACTAGCTGACTTGTTAATTATTAATTGAGCATATGTATCTGGCTCTTGATTCTGTTTCATTGGTTTATTTGTCAGGATTTTTTTCCCTCCAAAACCATACTATTTTGAGGACTATAGCTTTCTTGTATAGCTGAAATCAAAAAATGTATTTCCTCCTGCTTTGTTCTTTCTCAGTATTTCTTTAATTTTTCAATGAATAAAAAAAATTTAGGAATATTTTATTTTCTATTTCTATAAAAAACACCCTTGGAATCTTTTGCATTGAATCTATAGATAGCTCTTGGTTATTTTAACAATATAAAATCTTCCAATCTATGAACACAAATGTGCTTGTATCTACCTCAGTTTCTCTTATCAGTGTCTTGTATTTTTTAGAATAGGCATCTTGATCCTCTTTTAATTTATTCCTATTTCATTGTCTTTATGCTATTGTAAATGGGATAGTTTATTGTTTTTGGAAAATTTGTTGTTAGTGTTACAGTTCTTATAGGAGATAAGAATGAAGTTTTCCCCCCTCTCTTTAGAGAAGGTTAGAAAGAAGAAAAAGATGTGTTGTCCTTATCATTACTTTCTGTCCCAGCACCAAATACTTGGGATACTTTAGAATTACACATGGCAGAGTTTGAAATTGTGGTCTCCAATGGAGGTAGAAGAGTAGTATTAGGGGGGAGGATGCCTTGAAATTATAGTTAATGCTATAACATTCTGAGGTATTTTTTAATTTAAAAGGAACATTTTTCCTTATGCATCTAGATAAAAAATGGGGCATTTTTTATGTGAAGGCTAGCTTCAGATATCTGAAGACAAGTGCTGTCTAGGAGTAGCTGGATCTGTTTTGCATACCATTTGGGTAGCATATAGATAAGTGAGTGGAGAATGCCAGGGTGTAGATATCACTTTTCTTGACATGAGGAACTTGCTGCCTCAAATGGATTTGGGTGTTTCCAGGACAGAGTGATCACGGACTTTTCCTGGGAAATTTCAGATATTTTTAGCAGGGATGATCTGAGGATTATTATGTAAGCATGTTAGTTGAATGATTCCTTCCAGACTTAAGATTCCATAGTCCTAATGGAATACCAGTCTCAAAAGTCTGTTTATCTTGAAGACATATTTTTATAATAGCTTAAGGAAGAAAAATTAGATTTATATTTATAACTCAAATATTTTCTCCAATGTTTTACAGTACCGTAAGTCTAATAGATACAATATTTTGTTTATGCCAAAAGTTAAGATTTTGGCTCTGTTCTAATAGCCCTTTTCCATATGGACAGTGTAACAACTTCCATATTTGCTCTTACTGACAGGTACTCTAGATTTCTTTCATAGAGATGTTTAATTTAAAGAAGTCTACAGACACCGTATATTCCAGCTTCATAGAACACATCAGAGTCTAATTTCCTTTAACACAGGACTCAAATTCTACTTCACTTCCTGATATTTTTGAATTCCTCAAACTTACTTACTAAAATAAAATAATTTTATTCTTTGATCCATACTTACTGTTTCTAATTCTGTAGACCTTGCTCTCTTGTTCTAGTTTGAGCATGTTCTTATTTCTTCTTTAACTTAAGATCATTTTATTAAATACAGACACTATTATATTTTTCAGGTAATTCTACTCTAGATGCATTTTAAATGTGTCATCATTTTCTGTGGACTCTAGAAATTTCTTGAAATAATGTATCTCTAATTCAGTAGAGATCACTATTCCCTTTCTCCCCCCTCCCCCCCAGCATATTGTACCCTATTCTTCCTTCCCAGGAGCTTTAATTAGAATTCCAAACAGGTGCTTGATTGCCCCAAAACTAAACTATTTGTGCCCCCCCCCTTTTTTTTTTTTACAAAATCTATGATCTACTTATTGCTAAACTCTCTGATTTTAAGTCTTACAATCTTACCATTCTTCTCCCAGTCCACTACATGTAACAGCTTAACAGCTTCATTGGCCATTGTACTATTTCATATATATATATATATATATATATATATATATATATATATATGAAATGGGATATATCTGTAATAATTATAATAATTATTACAGATATATCCCATTTTGCCCTCTTTTACCCCCTCCTCCCAACCTCTACCCACTCTACCAGGTCTTCACTACCCTCTTGCCTGTGCCCATGATCTATGCATATAAGTTCTTTGGTTTATCTCTTCTTGAACCCCCAACCCCAGTCTGTTCCATGACTTCATGCTTCTCATTTTGTTTGGACGATTTCATTGTGTTCATTAGATTCCACATATAAGTGAGGTCTTCTGATATTTGTATTATGTCATTTCTTCAACCCACCAAGGTGGCTCCAACCTGAGTGCTTTGCAGCAGCCTGGAGTGCTCTTTATTATTGCTGCTGACTGCTAGCAACTTGAGATCTCAGTTTAAATTTTACTCCCGTAGACAAATCTCCCATAAACACTTAAACAGAGTAGCTTTTTCTTTTACCGTCTTTTTATTTATTTATTTATTTATTTAATACGTGTCCTTATCCCCCCATTGCCCCTACCCCTCACCCTTACTCAGGACCTCACCCTCCTGGTGTCTGTGTCCATTGCTTAGGCTTATATGCCTGCATAGAAGTCCTTTGGTTGATCTCTCACCCTTACCCCTATTCTTACATGTTATCCTATTTCAACTTCCTGTAAATTGCTCCTCTCTATATGGTATTTTTTAAAAATTATTTTTTTAGAATGTATCTTTATTGTTGAATGTGTTAAAGATGTCTCCTTTAAAAATTATTTATCCAATTGTATAATTTCTCTCACAAAAGAATGGATGATTCATTGATGTACATACATTGTCTGTTTTGTTTATCAAAATCTTCAGTACCCAGAAAAAAAGCTGGCACATCATGGGAACTGCGTAAATATTTGTTGAATTAATGAATGGAACACAATGCTTCTACACTCCACATGTCCTTATTTGTCAACTTGGCTGTGGGTGAAATCTTCCAACTTCGTAATATCTGAAGCTTGTAGGCTAATAAAGCATTCTAATATTTTGCTAAATTTCTTTCGTACAGTAGTTATAAAGATGTTAGGGAAAACTTGCGAATATGTATCTGTATAAAAAATAATGAGAAATTGGTCACAGTGTCATTTGGGGCTATGAGGAGAAGGATATTTCGTAAGTTAAATATCAGAAGTGATAGCACTTGGTTTAAACATTAAAGGAGGCACTTACTTAGAGATTTTGATTTTCACAACTTTTTTTTGGCCTTGAAACTTGTTTCCTTCTTTGACATTTCCTTTCATTCACACAAACTATCAAAATAGCATCTAGACTATCTTTTGTAATGAGCTTAAGTAAACATGATGTTTTTGTAGTTGCAATCTAAACTTTTTCATTATCAATGGATTGTTTGACAGATTTCTTTATTTTTTGTTGTTTTCAATAGGATTGTAATATTTCTTGTGATTTGAAAGAAAATGTGTTTTCATTCTTAACTTGCAAATATTTTATATATCAATAAATTACATCCTCACTGTGCAGACTTCCAGTGTTAGAAAGATTATAAACTTTTCTTGCATTATTGAATTTCTTAGTTTCTATCCTGACTATTCAATGATAGTCATGTAGCATTTTTCATGTGTTTTAAATATGCATACTCTAGTATGTTAAAAATAGTTTTGTAAAGCAAAATTCTTATAAAGACTTTTTCTTATTTTGGCAGGAACATTTTTATCATTCCTATTTATTACACTAGTTGCAATTAGTGTAGAGAAATGTGTATTTTATGTACCAATTCACCAGAAAAAAAAATCCTGTACTGAATTAGCTGTTTTTCATAGCATATGACGTATGACTGTTTTGTGAATTATTAAAAAAAATCATATGTGTGAAATTTTATTTTTTTCATTATTGTCTTGGTCCTTCTTATTTACTCATTGATTTAATATGTACATTTGTCAGTAAAATCACTGTGTATGTAAATGGCAAAAAAATATGTGTATATCCTTTTCACCTTAATGTCCATCACAGATCTTAAAACAGTATCTTTCAAAAAAATGTTAAATGACCTGAAACATAAATAAATATAAAACAATCCATGTAAGTATAACAATACAATAAACAAAACCAAACTAATAAAAAACCACCTCTGAAACTTTTTTCATTTGTTACCCTAAGAAGCTTTTTTTGTGTGAAACTATGTAGTACAGTAAACCAATTTTTTTTACACTTATATAGATATTAATGCCCATAATTGGCATCAGAATGATGTGAGTCTATAAAAATATAGACAACATTTACATTTTTTTTTTCAGGTAGCTCTCTCAGTTTTCAATAATCTTGTCTAATTTTGTAAACCTCATTGGGGATAGGGTGAGGTGTTTGGCTTAGTAAGGCAGTGTTTAACTCGGACAGCCCTACATAGTCATCCTCACCCTAGAGGTTGGGGAATATGATCTCCTCAGGTCAGGGTTGTCCTAATGGGGCCTGGGGTGGCTAGTGGATGGGGCCTGTGGCCTGCAGCTGACAGCAGCCTTGGGAATAGCCTTTAGCGGGCTCCTCTGAGGCAGTACTGAGCTGAGTGGAGTCTGATGGTGCCCGCAGGTGGCAAGCACATTGAGAGACATCCAGCCCTGGCTGCTCCACTGCGACATGCTGAGCGCAACCCAGGAGGCGCGCTCCCACCCAGACATCTCCTCCAGCAGCCAACGGCGGAACGCGCCACAGCCCATCGCGGACCAGGGCCCCGGGGAGCTGCCAGAGGAGTTCGTGGTCCAGGTGCCCAAGGAGCTCAGATCCCAGCCCAAGGTGCGGCCAGCGGTGGGAGGTGGGGAAGGGGGCTGCGGGGGAGGGGGACTGGGCAGGGGCTCCTGGAAGCTCAGCCCCGGGCAGGTTTAAAGGTGCCTTTTCATATATCTGTGGCTGATAATTGCACTTGGTTGTGCCTTAGCCAGCTGTTTAACAATGCATGCTTATTCTACATTAGAGCACCATTATTATTTTAACATGTTGACCTTACATTTTGAACTGCCTTTGTGTTAACACAGGAAATTTAAAATTACTTTGAGTGAGAATTTCAACTCTTGCAGAATCTGAGTGGTTATAAAATACAAGTTTTAACACATCCAGTCATTTTTTTTTATTTTTTTAATCCTCATCAATGGAAACTACCAAAGTTTTGAAATTATGATGAAAACATCTTGGTAGAAATTGTGTATAGACATTTTTAAAGCATAAAATGAGATAGAAAACTGATGGTTACAGGAACAAGCTGATTTTCTTATGAAAGTGTGGGAAATTCCTTTGTTTATAATGTCTCTGCAGCTGATAAGTGGAATGGGAGCCATATAGCCCATGGATTTCCAGTGGAGAACATTACATGATAGTTGCACAAAATTCACTACTACTTTTTCCCAATACTTTTATTTTATCTTTATATATTTTAAGGCAATGTAACTTTTCTTTTTTCTCATTAAATTCCACATAGGTACTCTTTTCCTCTAAATTCCTCTAGGGAATATAATACACTACTATATAAATATATGGTGGGCAAAAGTTGTTTACAGTTGTTCATATGGGAAATAATAATAAATAATAACAAAAATAAACTTTGTTTTGCAAACACATAATCATAAACTTATTAAGTATTATAAATGCTTATAATTTTCTTTATGTTCCACAACATGAAAAATAATAGGAATCACTTGGCTTGTTGAACCATAATATCAAGTCTTGTTCCAAAACACAGTCACTTACTCTAATTTCTATAAGGCAGTATACAAAATATTGGCAAAGGAACATGAAATACCTCTAAACTAGTTGAGCTTCTAAACCCCATTAGAGAATTCTCTGATAAAACAAGTTGGAATACTTTATTTCAGTTCAGGGAATAAGAGAGGTGCATCATGAATCCATTTGAGATTCAACAGACCTGTGAGAGTGAAACCTCACTCCTCAGTTCCTGCAGCCACACAGAAGGAGTGAGTGTATGGGAACCATGGCACTCGCAGTGACTGTCCACTCTCAGTCACATCATCCAGTTGATGCCCAAGAACCTTTCTGTTCAGTTTAGCATTTCTTCCTCGGTGGTGATGACTGGGGCAGGGGCAGAGGTGGGGGAGGAAATAAACTTCCACAGAAGCATGTAGAATTGACTCCAGCATGTTCTGAAAATTCAAGGAAAATGCATAGTAAGCATGCTTTAAGAACTTTTTATTTATTTTTTTATTTTTGCGTTCTGTTTTGCAGAAATTGGGTGCTATTATATTCCAAAGTTTTCATCATGATTTTGACTTCTGATTTATACTATAAAATAATATAAAATTAATATTAATAATTTACTTCAATGCAAATACATTCTCATAATTTCTCATACTAATGAAATGGAAATCCAGAAATGAAGTTTAATTTTTTGAGTAGATGATATGAATATTTAAATCAGCAATGAACATAATTACAAACACACATGCGTGTGCACATGCTCACACACAACCCTACCTACTGGGGATTCTATCTTATGAAAAAATTTAGAATAGTTTTCCCTTATAGAGCTTTTAGTAAAGAGTTGACTGAATTTAAAACATTCCCCAACTTTTAAAGCTTAATGAGATTTTTCTATGTTATGAGGTTTTACTTTTTTGCCATGTATGTGGGAGGTTGCAGTGTAGTAATGGGTTATGAATTGTGTTTTTATATCAGTTTGAAAATAGAAAAGTTATATCCTGTTTTGGATAGAAATGGAAAGGATGGTCCAAGGCAGCCTTCATATGATCTCATAAATGGATACTGAGGAAAATGTGATTTAAAAGGAGCCAAAAGAATTGTTAATCTGTTATGATGAGACCTTACTTTAGGGAAGTTGCTTTTCTGCAAAACTAATTTTATCAATGAGACACAGAGCAACTGAAGGTCATCTGTGATTGCTCCATAGAAAGAACAAGGAAGAACAAACAAATGTTTCAGGGGCATAATCTTTCCTAATACAGAAGATCCTGTTATCTGTGGGGTGCCTTCCATGTCCCCACCTGTTGCTGCTGAAAATAGGCATATTGGGGTGCCATGGAAACAAGAATTTCTGGGCCCCAAAGGAGGATCAGGTGTCGTGAAAAGCTTTATTGATGATGTGAAATTAAGGGGGTTCCCTTCCAAGGTTCCCTCTTTCTCCATCTCACCATGGAAAGCGTCCCATTGGTTTCTGCAGAGCTGGGATTAAAGCCATTGCCCAGAGCCTTCTCTCTATATTAAAGCACAGTCTAGTCTAGTATCTGGCTAGCTTAGCTTGTGCTCCAAGCTCCAGTCCATGGAATGTGAAGTCATGGTCATGCGGCTTCCAGGGCCACATGGCAGGCTAGCGCAGGTCCCTGAATAAGCAAGTGCAAGGAAGCAGGTGCAATGCAACAGAAACAAGAGGAACAAGGGAGGGACATTTTCTTTTAAGGGGAATTTTAATTAGGAGCTTAACAAATGAATCCTTCAGGATTTCACATCCTTGCAGTGGCTCAACCCCTCTAGGCAATCCATGGCTCCACAGGCCAGACTAACAGGCCAGTGTTTTCCCCGTGTCACCCCCACTTCACTGTACATGTGCCTATTCACCCCTTTGCTTGATCCCTTTCCCAGTATCTGCAGGGAATGGACTGGTGGCTCCTTTATACTGGAGGGTAAAGATGCAGCTTCCTAGTGAAGCTTCCCAGATGTCCATGCTTATATGTCTGGCCTTCCCTTTTATTTTTTTCTTTATTTAAAAAAATATATATATTTTATTGGCTCAGTGGTGGAGCATAGGTCTGCGGACTGAAAGGTCCCGGGTTCGATTCTGGTCAGGGGTATGTATGTTGGTTGTGGGCACATCCCTGGTAGCGGGTGTGCAGGAGGCAATGTTTCTCTCTCATTGATGTTTCTAGCTATCTCTCTCCCTTCCTCTCTGTATAAAAATCAATAAAATAGATATATTAAAAAATATATATCGATATCTATTTTATTGATTTTTTTTTTTTACAGAGAGGAAGGGAGAGGAAGAGAGAGTCAGAAACATCGATGAGAGAGAAACATTGATCAGTTGCCTCCTGCACACCCCCCACTGGGTATGTGCCTTCAACCAAGGTATATGCCCTGAGCAAGAATGGAACCTGGAACCCTTGAGTCCGCAGGCTGAAGATTTATCCACTGAGCCAAACCAGTTAGGGCATATTTTTTCTATTATTAATATTAATAAAATAGCTATTTATGATGGTAACTATAATACATAGAGCTAGACCATTTGGATAGGTATTACAAGTGAAATTAAAATAAAATATACCATATTACCTTCAGTTCTTCAAATTTAAAAAAGACAGGGAAGAATGCAAACAAGAAAATCTCAGTGAGCTCCATCTCTCCACACCTTTCTCAAAACAAAAACAAATCTGTTATAAAAACAAGATACTTAAAGTTACAGAAAACTCATGAATAAACCTAAGTAATAAAGACAAAGATGAATAGAATCTGATTGAAAAATGAAATTGATTTTACTTTAAAAATCTTTAGCCCCTGTTTGTTCTACAGATAGCCAAACAAGCAAATAAATCCAACTAAAACACCCTTAAGATCTTAAGAAAAAACACACATAAAGACCCTTTTATTGGTTTGAAAATTAAACTTTACTCTTTTTTCACCCTTTTCATTCATTTGACTCCAAATAGCGAATAGTTCTTGGGAGTTAATGAGTGTTTAGATTCAGAGGAATTAGGACTTCACAGCAGAGCAGCAAAGCATAAGGAATTTTAGAAAAGCATTGTTCACAGAAGATGTGTTTCTCTTTAGCATATTAAAGCAGAAGGAAGTCTGAGGGCAGAATGCCCAGTTAATGACTAGATATCAAGACTTTTCCTTGAAGCTAAAGGAATGTTAATGTGTTTTTTATCAGCACTTTCTGTGCTTTAATTGTGATTTTCATAAGTTGCATAAAAAGTTCATTAGAGATGATCTACAAATAACCCTCCTGCTAGGCACATGTAGTGTGCAGCAAGCATGTCAAACTCAAAGGCTAACACGGGCCAAATTTACAAGGTTTAAGTTTATGTGGGCTGCAAAAAAACAAAACCTTTAATTAGGTTTATTTCGATAGAGACATGCTGAATACAAAGGGCTGAAATAAATGAGTCATCGTTAACATACAATAATAGAACATTTTAATAAAAAATAATATTTTTCTTGAATATTAACTTACCAGACACTGAGTAACTGCACAAATTAATAAGCATAACACAAAGGAACCTATTTTTTCTCATTTTCTGAAAGCGAAATATTTCCTGTTGCACACACCAAACAAGACAGTGCAAGACTAATGACAGCAATCGGCTGCTAAAAATATTTGCTGCTAGGATTAGCTGAGAGAAATGGTGCCCCGGTGTGTAAGGCGAATAAGGCAAATGAATGCAACACGATTATAGTAATCAGTCATTAGCGAACATTGTAGCTCGTTATTAATAATTACTTATAACAGGATATTGTAAAAATTAAGTTGTGAAATTTTTATTAAAACATTTCTTACATACTGTTACACTGTATTGGCTGGGCACAAAAATATTCATTGTGGGCCACATGTGGCCCTTGGGCCACGAGTTTGACATGCGTGGTGTGCAGGGTCCGTGCAAATGTTTTCTCAGAATGCAGCTAAAGCATTTCAATCCTGACAAGTCCTAAGACTCTGCCTTTTGCAGGAGCCAAAATACTTTTCCAAGAGCCTCCTATATTCTGTCAGTCTATAGGGAAGCAAATAAAACTCTATAATCAATTTTCCCCCACGTTGGGGTTTTTGTAGATGGGTA